ACTAGCAGGTGGGCCCGGCGTTGCTCGGGCAAAAGTAACGATAACTAAGATAAAGATTATTACGTTACAGTCAACCTTACCCGTTTTCACAGAATGCAAGAATTGGGTCCCCTTGTTTCCAGACTAATTAGAGAATTTTTAGATGGATCTAAAAATATGTTCGATTTCCCGCAAAAACGAAAAAAACTGCATCTGCGTCTTGCACGTCGCTTTCTCTTAACAATTCCATTGTTACGTAACACTTCCATTGTTGAAACTTTCATTGTTACTTAAAACTTCCATCGTTACTTAACACTTCCATTGTTACCTAACACCGCCATTGTTACTTAACACTTCCATTGTTGATGGAAGTGTTAAGACTTAATCTTGTCTTTCTCCCCCCCGGAGGAATTTCGAAAAATCCCTTCTTAGTGTGCGTTTTCGTGACGTACCCTATCTGTGTACCAAATTTCAACTTTCAACTCCTAACCGTTTCGGCTTTGCACTTATTATTATTATCATCAACCCGTCTCGATTATATTACAGATTGAGTAATTTTACTAAAATGTTAAATTGTTGTCCATATAATTTTAAGTATTTCGTAACATTCAAGCTTTTTAAACTTTTATAAACATAATTGTTTATGGATGTTTTCTCGTATAATTCAATTAAAAAAATATTTCTAATTTGATGGTATCGTTTTTATTTTTAAGAAATTGTATCAAGAAAAATGTAAAAAAAATTTTTATTCAATTTGTAAATATTATAATACATTTAATAAAAATTTGTTTCTCATAAGTTTATAAAGAATTTAATAAAATTATCACGAAATGTAAACGTGTGCATTATATGGAGAAACGGCAAAAGAATACACGAGTTAATACAGGTTATTAACAACAAGGTTATTAACAAGAATGATGGTTTGAAACTGAAACTAGAGCAGAAGAGTCACGAAACAATACATTTTCTAGAGCATTTACATAAAACCTATGCACAATTCTCTCTACATACCAGCTAATTTGAATGACCTACATGAATGCAAAATGTCAGTATTTCGTGCACTCATTAGGAGAGCGTTTATTTATTGCTCTAATGTATTGGACAGGAGTAAAGAGATTCACAGAATTAATTATTATAAATAATAAAAAACTGGACTGTTGATTTGAAATAAAACTCGTTTAATAAATAAAGTATAATACTCTACTTGAGTTATGATTTACAAAAAAGTTCGCTCAATCACAGTAACAGACCTGAAAACATTACTTTTCAGAAAAATCTCAGGCAGTAAATATACTCGCATACACCATACGCAACATGTTGAGCAGCTGGACATACAAAACTTTATCTGGTTTCTGTTTTGCTCAGGCAGCTTTGTGAAAACGTGAAAAATCATGTAGTGTCTGGCTTGTTAAAACAAGCAAAAAGTAGAACACTGGCTAGGATTACAAGTATGCTAGAAGATCTGCTAATTTAACTCAAGGTTAATAACGTAATGGAACAACTGTAGGACCTGTGAACTGTGTTTGAACCAGTCTAATGTAAGTATATTTTTCAGATACTATGAAGAAACCAGTTCTATTCCCTAATACATCCGTAGTATCAGATCGGCAACGACTACCGTTACGGAAGATCGAATATCATAACAAGTTATTATAAAATACCAATTTTCTATTGTATGTTCGTGGAAGCTGCCTAACAGTGCAGCGAACGAATAGACCAACCTGTATCTCTACTAACTCTTTCTGCCATTTGGCTACAAACAGAGCCAATTTTAGCATGCCCGTTTTAAGTTTCGCAAGCCCCACAATGGTGCGATCGGAGGTTTGAGACGCGGCCCGACATATCAGGACTGAATACCATCTAAAAAATACTGAGGCTTTTTGACCTTATCGGATTCTCCAGAGCCGTATGCTGTACTTATATCAGATGAACTCAAAAGAAAATTAAGTACTGTAATTGCGATTTTTTGTTAAACTACGAATGTATGTAGCATTTAATAATGTATAGATTTATTTACAGTTTTATTTTTCAATTTAAGATTTTTTTCAACTCCATATAATTAAATTTCACATATATCTAATTTTCGTTTTATTTTGTAAAAGTATCGATTAAATTACAGTTGCATTTTCATTCTTGTATGAAAACTGCACGAATTCATCAGTTTTGATTGTCTGCCCTTGGAATATGGAGGTACCTTGCCAAAATACGATCTTACTAAAGCTAATAATATGATAAATGCTAACGAAGAATACGTGAAATAGTACAAAGAAGAAATAAAGAAAAGTCCTAAGGATTCACAAGAAGAAAAATTTTTAAAAATTATAGAAAAGTCAGAAGAAAAATTTAAAATTTATTCTAACAATCCAGAAGCTTTAATGAATGCTATAAATGAAGATTCCGAATGTGAAATAACCCTTTATTAAGTTGTTAAAATGACTTTTGCTATCAAATTTCAATAATGTAAACAAAAACTATGGAAGAATTAATTATATATTTCATTTTCTCGTAAAATATAAGAATTAAAATCTTTTCAAGTTAAAATAACACAATTGAATAAATTGTTATTGCAGATTCACTATTGTTAATTATGTGAAATTCAAATATTTTAGCAGCATAGAGTGATGATAAGATAAATCTGTTTTTCGAAATATTATCAAAATTGCAAATAGATTTACTGGTACGAATGTTTATATCTTATTGAGTAATTTTGCTAAAATGTTTAATTGTTGTCCACATAGTTTAATGTGCTTACATTCAAGCTTTTCAAACTTTTAAAAATATAATTGTATATGAATGGTGTGTTGTATAATTCGATGAAATTATATTTTCCATTGGAAAGGCTGCACAATTCATATAAACCAATGAGATGGATAGATAATTTAAAAAATGTCGTTATCCACTGATGAGGCCGAAGATAAACGGCGAAATGCATTTAGGTAAGAAAAAGGAAAATACAGTCGACCCCCCTATAATTACGGTCCCTATAATTACGATTCCTATAAAACTACGAAAAAATATACGTATTTTGGAAATGTTGAGTCAGATTAGTGTAGAATCGATTAATTTTATGGAAGAAAACCTTTCAATCAGCCGTAGACCGTAAAATTGACACGTGTCGGGCTGTGATTGGAACGACTTGTAAGAAATCGGATTCCTAATAAATTGAACCGTATCTATATCTTATAGGGGGGTCGACTGTAAGCATCTATTTGTAGTTTAACTGTTTCAATTCGTAATTCGTTCCTAGGAATAGGTGTCGATTGCGTCTTTTGACTCTGAGACTTTATTCTATATTTTAACTTTTTAAAATGTTTTAGAACTTTACTTACATTTTTAAATTCAATTTTAACTAAATATCGATCCCATTAAATTTTAATTATAAATTTTAAATCATTCGTTTTAATTCCTCTTCAATTATACGTTACTTTTATAAAGTATTGTTTTAATTATTTGCTGTTTAGAACAGAACTTTTATCACAGAAATGTAAAAGATTATAAAAATAATAATAATGATAACTTGCATTTTATCAGAATTAATTTTATTGATAAACACGTACAATTTTGAATTTAGAAAATGTTTGTATCACATTTATAATAAAATTTATGGAGCAGAGCTAATTATATCGAATGCTTTTAGCTTTGTAAATTTTGCGAAAAACAAGCCAATTTTAATAATTATAATTAATTTTGAAAGTTTTCCAATCTCAATCTCAATCTGAAATTTTTAATTTTCCAATTGACGATTTTTTTCTGCACTTGCTGGAGAAAATTCCTGATGACCTGCTTGATCTTGCTTTTCTTCTGCTTCATTGTTTTCTTTGTTTTTAGGGCCTTGACCTTTTATATCTTCCTCATCTTTACTTTCTTTAAAAATTTTGAGACATTCTTTTTTAGTTTCATTTTCCGATTTTAATTTTTCAGATTTTTCGGGATATATTCGTAATTTTTCAAATAGTGAAAACATTTCCTGTAAAAACAAATTTTATACATAAATTAAATATATTTTACAGTTACAGATATTATTTGACGGTAAACACGAAAATTCTATGAAAGTGCATTGATGTAAAAAGGAAATGCAACATATGAATGACCTTCAATTCAGTGCATACAAAGAGAAAAGATTAAGTGTTGAGCACAGAAGAAAATTCAGAAAACTGACACAGTGGTTCGAGAACCTTTTAATATTCAGAGAAATCGAGAGTGATTATATAAAGAAACGCAACACTCAGTAATAATTAAAAATATGAATATAGTTTTTCAGCATTGAAGGAAGAATAAAATAAATATTTTAATACGTACGCAGGAAGTGGAATCAGAAAGAGGAATGTTATGATCTACGTTAAAAGATTCTCCGCATGTTGTCCCGTGCTTATTGTATTTAAACGATCCACCTAAACCATCACCATTAGGCATGGGTGTATGCCATTGCTTAATGTGATCTTCTAAATCTGATTCCGTTTTAAATGTCATGCCGCAATATCGGCATTTGTAAACAACATCAAGAAACACGTTCATCAAATACTCTTCGTACTTAAATGTTTCACCGAAACCAGCACCGTTACTTCGGAGTTTATGTTCTTTATTAATGTGTTGTTGTAACTCTGATTCCGTATTGAACGTCTTGCCGCACAATTCGCATCTGTAAGAATCATCTCTCAAATTTCTAAACTCAAAAACGTGCATTTTCTTTATGAGATTGGATTCACAACTTAAAACTTGACTTTGATATAAATTATTATTTTCTACTCGTTCAGATAATCTTTTCCACGTCTAGATGGATCGTTTGCGAATTTGCGACTGAATTGTTGATGTCAACAATTGAACAATTGATATATTGTTTTTCTATGAAAATTAGAATTTAATTGTTACCTGATTATTGTATTTAAAGTATTTTTTTTTTATTTATCTTCTATAATCTATATGATAGTTTGTATGTTTCGGTATTTTTTATATTTAGGGAAAAATCATGACACTTGAAATATTTTGTGTTGTAAAAGATCAAGGGATAAACTTAGACATATGACTATAAATTAATTTATTTTTACTTTTTCGGCTGTTACATATAACAGTGGGAAAATGTGGCGATTGGTGAAAGAATAATTCCCAATTTCATTATATATTTTTTGAATCAATGCCTCTTGAAACGCGGAAAAATTTGTTTTTATTTAGAAATAAATTCATGCGTTTGTACGACACAATTTTGTTCACTCTCTTCGAATCTTAATAACTTCTGTCCTTTTCGTGAAATATATAAACTTTTGCAGTAATATTTGTATATTAGAGTGATTGTTGCTGTTAAATTTTGGTGGTTATAAGTCTAGGGAGTGGGGAGATAACGAAGGTCGTGTGTATCCGCAGTTGGGTCAGACTTAATGTGTATTTTACTTCTTACTAGCATATACAATTTTTTTTTTAATAAAACCTATCTCTATCTTCAAAATTAAGCTTTTATCATTTTAAAATAGTTAAAAATATAAGATTTTTAAAATAAAATATTAACATATGACGCCACCAACTGTTACCGGAAAAGTTAATGGATTTTTAAACTACTTGACAACATGTCTTTCAGCACTAGAAAAATTAAAACCGTCAATTGTGATTCATTATATAAAACCATGCGCTATGGTCTATTGTGTGCAGCTTCGGAAAAGAAAAAGGATTGAAATTTTTATTAGATAAACCGTTCTGTAGTAAATATTAACATATGACGCCACCAACTGTTACCGGAAAAGGTAATGGATTTTTAAACTACTTGACAACATGTCTTTCAGCACTAGAAAAATTAAAACCGTTAATTGTGATTCATTATAAAAAACCATGCGCTATGGTCTATTGTGTGCAGCTTCGGAAAAGAAAAAGGATTGAAATTTTTATTAGATAAACCGTTCTGTAGTATATTTTACATTGTTTGAATGTAATTTGTCTGAATTGCTTGTATTTCACAAGTAACAATTGCAGAATAGACNTTATATAAAACCATGCGCTATGGTCTATTGTGTGCAGCTTCGGAAAAGAAAAAGGATTGAAATTTTTATTAGATAAACCGTTCTGTAGTATATTTTACATTGTTTGAATGTAATTTGTCTGAATTGCTTGTATTTCACAAGTAACAATTGCAGAATAGACTTGCTTCGTCACTCTCTACGACAGCACATAAATTGTATGACGATTTGAAGCAGTTTTACCAAACGATCCACCCTTTAATATATCCTGCTCCGAATACAGGCAAAAATAGAAAGAGCGCAATATCTCGTTGGGAAGACGGGAAAATTCTGTTTCAGACCGTGCTGACAAATTAAAATAATATTGACAATATAGACATGAGCAACGAAGGCCATATATGAATTTTTCTCTGTTTACACCACTTACCGAATCGAGTTCTGTTCTGCTGTGTGTTCCGTTACAGTATGTTCTGGTGTATCTCTGGCTCAAATTAAATATTAAAGGTTTATAATGTTCTTTATATGGTGAGCCGTCTCTTCCAACTTCTCCTCCTAAAAATTTTTTGTTTTGTTTTGTTTCATCACTCTATTATTAGATAGATTTGTCCGTACACTCGTCGAACCTACAATTTTGAATATAGTGTGTGATCGGTTAACGAACATAATCCGTTCCAAGACTTTGTTCGCTATCCGAATTGTTCGTTAAACATAATTTTTATATTATAGGTTTTTATGGAAATTTGTTTAATTCGTTCTGGAGACCTGAAAAAATACAAAAATATATACTTTCTTATTACGTTTATTTAAATGTAATAATAAAAATTCATATATACACAGTATTGGATTTTTATTAGTCACGATTTCTCCGTTTGTGGGGGTTAAAGAATCTGTGTAACCCCGTTTGTGGGGGTTAAAGAATTTGTGTAATGTCTTCAAAATTATTCCGAAATAATTAATAACATTGTAATTGTAGAGATCCCCAAGCCTATTTACTTCAACTTGGTTTGGATTCCATTCTAAGACCGTTGTTCTGACATCCTCCCACTTTTTGAAAAGTTCATTAGTTGCAAATCTTGGCATTAATCTTTTTTTTTCAGAAGAAAACATATCTCGCCAGTTTCTTAGTATTTTTTATTCAAGAGTCCTTGTTCTTCTGTCTTCAAATCCGTTTTAGGTTCCATTATGAGCCATTCAATGCTCTTTATTTGTCAGATGTAATTTTTGTTACTCCTTTAGCTGCTTGAGTCTTCTTGATTATACAGTATTTTTTTAGAGAAGATTGAACTGCGACCTATTGTAGAACTGTTCAAATCATACTGTTTAGCAACATGAGATATCCGCCCACTCTCTATCTTTGCTATTTTACTTTTATCTTCCGGAAAAATATCGGATGCAAAACTTCACGATTGTCCGCGTGACATTCTCGCGAATACTATAAAGGAATTGTTACTGTCAGAAAAATAAAAGGCTGAAATTACAAGGGAGAGGTTCAAAGTGCGGCGGTATACTATCTGATCAGTATATATCGGGTTGAGTGTCGTACTCGATGTGTCCCGCAAACCGAAAAGTTTCGATTTGTTGTCTGAAGATAAAAAAAGACTAACCGGTATTCATTAGTTTACGTCGCTTCTTTTTGTGTTTGTTCTGTGGGGTGTTAATAAAAAGTTATGAAAGAGGCAAGAGGTTAAGAACCGGAACGGATCAATTTAAGATCATCAAATTTACGTATAATAAAAACTTCAGGGACATCATGAAGCAAGTTTCAGACAAAACACGCTCCAAAATTGTTTACAAAAGTGGTCCTAATTTATACAGTATTTTTAGAAACGATAAGGACAAGCTTAAAAAAAGAAGAAACAGCGGGCGTGTATAAAACTCCCTTTGAAAACCAACAGTTAGAGATTATGAAGGACTATATTGGGGTCATTAGTCGGAATTTGTCTATTAGGCTTAAACAACACAGATATGTCATTAGAAAAAGACATTGTACCACGGTTTTGTCAAGTATGGCACAAGGGGCGGCTTCAGTAATTAAATGGAATGAAGCATCTATTATAAAATATTGTTTGCTGTTTACAACAGAACTCTTATTATAGATATGTAGAAAATTTATAAAAAAGAAATAATTTGAATTAACATTGAAAACGATTTTATTAAAAGAATATTTCATTGGTAAACATGTATAATTTTGAATTTAAAAAATATTCTTTCATTACATTTAAAATACATCACGTAAATTTAAACATAACAGATAATTATATCGAACGCCTTTCACTTTGTAAATTTTGCGGGAAAAAGCCAAAATTTAATAATTATAATTAATTTGAAGATTTGCCAATCTCCGACTCTTTATCTGCACTTGTAAGAAAAAATTCCTGATCACCTGCCGGTTCTTGCTTTTGTTCTGCTTCGTTGTTTTCTTTGTTTTTAGGGCCTTGACTCTTCATATCTTCCTCGTCTTTACTTTTTTTCAAAATTTTGAAGCATTCTTCTTCAGTTTTTTTTTCCTGATTTTAATTCTTTAGATTTTTCGAGATCTGTTCTTACTTTCGTGAATCTTGCACACATTTTCTGTAAAAACAAATTTTATACATAAATTATATTTTACAGGTACAGATATAATTTAATTTACAGTAAAACACAAATTCTATGAAAGTGATTGACGTAATAAATAATAAAAAAGAGCATAGTTTATGTACAGTAGTGTATTTTTCTTTAAAAAAATACACTACACTAAGCTGATTTTCATAGTTTATAACTAATTTCTATACGATTGTACGATATAATTGCTATTGTGTATTTCATACACCAGACAAATCTTCGTTATTCATAAAGAAGTATTATATTTTTCATATTGTATGAAAAAGATTTTATGCCTAATATGTAAATGTAACAAACAACATTTTACATTGTTTGATACACTTAAGGCACATTAAAATATTTTAGAATACCTAGAGCACATACTTATCTTAACGTAACTTTCCTCAGATTTACTGTGGAAATCGTAACACTATGGTGAGACAACCTTTTAGTACTCAGCGAAATCGAGAGTGATAGTAGTAATATAAAGAAATGGAACACTCAGTAATAATTAGAAGTATCAATACAACTTTTTAGTATTGAATAAAGAATAAAAATGAATACTTTAATACTTACGCAGGAAATGGAACTAGAGAGAACAATGTTCTGATCTGCGTTATAACGTTCTCCGCATGTTATTCCGTACTCTTCGTACTTAAATGATTCACCAGAACAGTCATTTCGGTCCGTATGTTCTCTATTAATATGTGCTTGTAACGCTGATTCTGTATTAAACTTTCCTCCGCACCATTCGCATCTGTAAGAATCATCCTTCAAATAGTCTTCGTACTTACATAATTTACCAGAACCAGCACCATCATTTCGGTCCGTATGTTCTCTATTAATATGTGCTTGTAACGCTGATTGAGTATTAAACTTTCCTCCGCACCATTCGCATCTGTAAGAGTCATCCTTCAAATAGTCTTCGTACTTACGTAGTTCACCAGAACCAGCACCGTCATTTAAGCCCGAATGTTCTCTATTAATATGTTCTTGTAACGCTGATTCAGTATTAAACGTTCTTCCGCACAATTCGCATCTGTAAGGCAAATTCCACAAATTTCTAAACTGAATAACGTGCATTTCCATTATAAAATTGAATCAACAACGTAAAACTTAACACCGATAAAAATTATTATTCTATAAACGTTCAGAAACTCTTTCCCACTTCCAGATGGATCGTTTGCGAATATGCGACTGATGGCTGGCCTCACCAATTGAACAATTAATTTATTGTTCTTCTATAAAAATTAGAATTGCTGAATTGTTACCTGATTATTATATTTAAATTATTATTATTTTTTTAAATTTATCTTCTATACGATATTTTGTAAGTTTCGATATTTTTTATATTTAGGGAATACCATGACATATGCAAATATTAAGTGTTGTAAAAGATCAAAGGATAAATTTACATATATGACTATTAATAAATTTATTTTTTACTTTTCCGGCTGTTATATTTAACAAAGTATGGCAATCGTTGAAAGAATAATTTCCCAAGATTATTATATTTTTGGAATCTTAAAACACCGAGAAATAAAAACAAATTCATGTGTTTGTGTGACAAAATTTTGTTCATTATCTTCGAATCCTAATAACTTCTGTCTTTTTCGTTCAAAATATCTGAAATTTTTCAGAAATATTGGCGTATTAGAGCGATTGTTGGGGTTAAATTTTGGTGGTTAAAAGTCTAAGGAGTGGGGAGGTAACGAAAGTCGCGTGTATCTGCAGTTGGGTCAGACTTAATGTCTATTTTACTTGTTAATAGCATTTACAATTTTTTATAAAACACATCCCTATCCTAAAAATTACGTTTTTTTCATTTTAAAATAATTAAAAATATAAAATTTAAAAAAATGAAATATAATAACATATGACGCATCCAAATGCTGCCGGAAAAGTTAAACTACTAGTCAACATAATATGTCTTTCAAAGCTATTAAACTTAAAATTATTAATGTATGTAATCTTTAATCAGAAATTAAATTCGGTAGACTATCATTACAGGTTTCTTTATTAGAGAGGTTGCAGCCGACGTTTTCAACGCGCAAACGTGTACGTCGGACGTTCAGCGCCGCTTTTCTCTAAGCCTAGAAATTTGACAATGGTGTTTGGATAGTCAGTGGAATCATGCTCGACATTCCAAACTCCATTGCCAAACTTCTAGGCCTTCAGGAAAGCAGCGCTGAACGATTAAACGTCCGACGTACACGTTTTCGCGTTCAAAACGTCGGCCGNTCTCTTTAATCCAAAATTAAGTTCGGTAGACTATCATTACAGCTTTCAGGTTAGACACCTCTTTTATTGTTTTCACATATGCATTTCAGGCTTATATAAATGCTAAGCCCTCTTCAGTGCAATACTATAAATTATTAAAAAAAAAAAAAACCACAATTAGTAACATGACAAAATTTCTCGTGTGTAGGTCATATTTACTGACATAAAACTATCATACTTAAAAATTGCCACATTTATACAATACATATGGTTCTGTCTTCTAAAACCACAGCATATAACGGGTAACATTGAGAAGATTTTTTAATGCAGCCATTAAAAACACCAAAAATACACTTTCCAAACATTCATACAGAAAACCTAATATATTAATATTTTTATAATTTTTTTACTCCATAACATTACATATTCCAATAAAATAACAATATAATACGACACATACTCTCTTTCATATTTTTCTATGTGCTCATAAAATCTTATATGTGGTCATAAATCTTATACAAGTACAACTTTTAAAGAATGTGTATTTTCTACAAAATGACTTTGCAGTAACTGTAATTATAATCGTTGTACATGTCTATTATATGCAGTATAGTAATATTAAAAACATTTTTAAGAGGATACATACATAATTTCACTATATATTTCTAATTATTTTCTGATACTACACTGTATGATAAATACATTACAATCACTTTTTTCTATTAGTGCCACCTATTATATTGTACCACTGTTGATCGACCCTTGAATAGATCCTGCTCCGAGTAGAGACAATAATGGAAAGAGCAGAATATCGCGTTGGAAAGAGGAAAATACTGTTTCAAAACGTGGTGCCAATTCACAGTAACCTTGACAGTATAGACATGAGCTATGGGGCCTCTTATGAATTCTTGTTACTGACATTATTTATTCCACAGCTTGTCTTGTCGTTCATTTATCTAACGCCTGTCCTGAGAGTAACGAAAAACACACAGACAGAGAGACTGAGAATTTATAGTTTTCACTGATTTCGAACTGCCTAACAACTGTTGAGCATTTAAAAATACAATGTTGATAATATTAGCATAAATCTAACATACAATAAAAAAACAAAATTAGAATTAGTCTAGTACAAAATGCAACTGAAATAAAAAAGTGCTTTATCAATTATTATAAACGGTAAAAAACTGAACTGTTGATTTGAAATGAAACTCGTTTAATAAAATACGCTACTTGAGCTATGGTTTACAAAAAAGTTCGCTCAATCACAGTAACAGACGTTCACATATATGCCTGAAAGTATTACTTTTCAGAAAAATCGCAGGCAGTTATTATATCCGCATCCACCGTTTGCTACATTTTGCGCAGCTGGACATACAAATTTTTTTCTGTATTCTGTTTTGCTCAGACAGCTTTCTTAAAACGTGAAAAACCATGTGGTGTCTGGGTTGTTAAAAGAAAGCAAAAATTGGCAACACTGGCTATGATTGCAAGTATGCTATAAGATCTGCTAACTTAATATAACTCAGCGTTAATAACGTAATGGAACAACTGTACTGACCTGTGAACTGTGTTTGAACCAGTCTATTGTAAGTATATTTCTCAGATACTATGAAGAAACCCGTTCTATTCCCTAATACATCCGTAATAGCAGATCGACAACGACTAACCTTACGGAAGATCGAATATCGCGACAAGTTGTCGTAAAATACCAATCTTCTATTGTACGTTCGTGAAAGCTGCATAACAGTGCAGCGAACAATCTCTGTATCTCTGCTAGCAGATAGAAACAGTTGTTTTTTTTCCGTGTTTTAAACTCTCTGCCAAGTGGGTACAAAGAGGGCCTCTTTTAGCAAGCCCATCATGGCTACCGCCAGTCCCACAATAGTGCGACGGGGCGGTTAGAGAAGAGACCCGACAATCTGAATGGACTACCATTTGAAAAATACTGAGACTTTTTCGACCTGTCCGGATACTATCTGCGGTCCTTCAGAGAGGTACGTTGCCAGCTTAATCGCTCAGCCACTCTGCCATTAACTAGCAACGGCCAGATGGCCGAGCTTACGCGACATTAGTTACGGTTGATAGAAAAATATGTGAAAGCCTATATTGACGCCATTTCAGTGAAAAAATCGGTTTGCATGGGATACCGACCACTTGACTTAAACGAAATAGCGAAAGATGATTTTGTCTGAAAAGAGTATATTCCTGAAAAGTATTTTTGAAAATTGTGGGAAGTAGAAAAAGAATTTTCCTGTTTTGATGGTGAAAACAACTCAGTTTCTCCAAAAACAATAGATAATGAAGAATGTCTTACACTCTATCCGAAAGATCTCCTGACTTACGTTACGCCTCGGAAGCTCAAGGCTTATTTCAAATAATTTTATTGGAGGAAATTTTGGTATAAAAGGTGATAGGTTACCTCCAAACAGTGCTCTCTCACATTATGCTCTTTTTCTCTATTGCTCTCGCACTGGCTCTTCGTTTCTCTCGTGCTTTCTCACTTTCTCTCCGGCTCTCACTCATTTTCCTCCGAGACGAAACGACATCATAAGAAGAAAATTTAAACTTGTGCCTCATTTGAAGAATATTCGCCGTATAGCGTTAAGCATATATATGTTTACAGTTAATATAAATTTATCGAAGCCTCTCTACATTAAAAGGAATAGTTAATGATTGATATTCCAACTTATTACATTAAAAGTACTTATTATATATAACATATGACGCATCCAAATGCTGCCGGAAAAGTTAAACTACTAGTCAACATAATATGTCTTTCAAAGCTATTAAACTTAAAATTATTAATGTATGTAATCTTTAATCAGAAATTAAATTCGGTAGACTATCATTACAGGTTTCTTTATTAGAGAGGTTGCAGCCGACGTTTTCAACGCGCAAACGTGTACGTCGGACGTTCAGCGCCGCTTTTCTCTAAGCCTAGAAATTTGACAATGGTGTTTGGATAGTCAGTGGAATCATGCTCGACATTCCAAACTCCATTGCCAAACTTCTAGGCCTTCAGGAAAGCAGCGCTGAACGATTAAACGTCCGACGTACACGTTTTCGCGTTAAAAACGTCGGCCGCAACCTCTCTATTGTTTTTACATATGCATTTTGGACTTGTATAAATGCTAAGCCACTCTTCAGTGCAATACTACAAATTATTAAAAAAATCACAATTAGTAATATGTCAAAATTTCTCGCGTATACATCATATTTACTGACATAAAACTATCATATTTAAAAATTGTCACACTTATACGATACATATGGTTCTGTCTTCTAAAACCACGGTGTATAACGGGTAACATTGAAAAGATTTTTTAATACAGCCATTAAAAACACCACAAATACATTTTCCAAACATTTGTACGGAAAACCCAATATATAAATAATTTTATAATTTTTTTATCCATAACATTANTATATAATAAGGTTTATTTAAATTCTTTAATTTATTGCATGAATAAATGAAAAGCCGAAAGCACCAGTGGTTACGAAGGTCTACAGACAGGGAAACAGACACTTGTACCCATAGAATAAAGTTAAAAAGTTTGTATTGAATAATTGCTGTATAGTGGTGATTGGTGAAAGGTGAAAAGAATGGAGAGATAGAAGAAATCGTATATTAATAGGACTTAATAAAGGTCTAACCCATTATTAGCATTTAAAATTTTTGTTTATATAGCTGATCTGTATTTTTCAAACTTAAGCTTTTTGCCATTTTTTAATAATTAAAAATATAAATAGTTTTTAAAATAAAATATTGTAACAGGTTGCTTTACTCGCAATTTTAACTGTTTCCGGAAACCTTAAACATCTTGATAGAATTTTTAAAGTACAGTTATCTGCATTTGTACTAATTGCATTGTGTATGTGCACAATTAAAGAAAATCTGTTCATAGTTTTCTTTAAGAAAATATTGTTTATGCTAAAGGTCGTCAACCTGTGGCACGCGTGATGATTTTAAATGACACTCTGACTGAATAGAAATGAAGTAAAAATTATATTTTAATTATTAATTACACATCTAAATGAAAACCATAATTCACAATTTGTTTTCAATGTAAACTGTTGTCGCCTAACTACATTCTACTTCTGGTTATATAATTCAACAGTAAGTACAAAATTAATGTAATCATATTAAAACAGAGTAATTTCGAATTCCAAATCTTCTTTCAATGAATCCAAAAAAGCTTCTGGATTGTTAGAATAACGTTTAAACTTTTCTTCTGATTTTTCTATAAATTTTTTCATTTTTTCTTCTTGTGGATCTTCGATAACGTTTGTAAATCTGTCTTCTTTAGAACTTCTCTTACTTTCTTCTTCATACAGTTTTACGTATTCTTCGTTTCTTTTGTAGAATTCTTCATTAGCTCTAATCATATTATTGGCTTCAGTAGGATCGTATCCTGGCAAAATTCCTCCATATTCCAAGGGCAGACAATCAGGATTGATGAATTCGTGTAAAGTCTTCATATCAGAATGAAAATGTAACTGTAATTTAAATTTTAATAAATGTAAACGTAACTCTATGAAAGAAAAATAAATAAATAAATTCTTAATGTATGGATTTTAATGAAGTACAAAAACAGTTGAAGTCTCTTCGATTTTAGTGTTGAAACGTACAGTTTATTTAATAACAGAATATGACAAAAACAAAATAACAAAGTAGAAATATAAAAGTTTGACTTATTCGCGGCAACATTAAATGCAATACGCACAACATGCACATAAGAATATTTCAATTACTAACACTTACCTTTTTCTTCAGTTCATCAGATAGAAGTGGGAGTAAAACACTTAAAACAGCTTTCATTATGCTATTCAGATTTACGTAATGCACTGCCTTGTATCCAATAATATAAGAATTTTTCTATTTAAAAAAAAAATACATATATATGTGCGTTAGTTATATAGGCTGTATATAAAGAGATAAGTTATGTTATGTCACAATAACTACTCACAGCAATAAGCATCGCTAACCAGTAGATGATGTTTGGTGAGAGATGGTAGAAATGCGACAAAGTTAATCCTCCTGCATCTACAATACAAATGATTTTCTTTTCTTGAGTTCGATGTAATGTTAATTGAAGGTCCATACAAAGCATTATAACACGCCATAAATCAGCTGCACTTGCAACAGATGTGTTCCAGTTACCTATAAAAAAAAGATTTAAGCGTATTATTATAAAAACCTTTACAATAATCAGTATCAAAAGTTATTTAATTATCTCAAAAAAGATTTGAGGAATTAAAAAAAATCAAAGATATATCTACGATGTTGGAATTACACTGGCGATTGAATTAATTATGAAATAAAATAAAACTTAAATTATAAAAACAATTTAAACATTATATACTGTCATAAAAGGCTTAATAAATACATTTGAATAGTATGTACTGTACAATAATGGATTTCTTTTAAATTTCAAATGTAAAATTGTTATAATATTTATATAAATTATATGCTACTTGATGTTCTATAGAATTAAGAGTTTCTATTCAATGCAAGATTATAAAGGCCATTTAAGGTATTTTAATTTATTAATTTTCTTAAAGTAATCTGTTTTTTTCTTCTTTATTCTTTCATCTTTTTCTATATCAGCAAAAAGAGTTTTTATTGTTACACTCTTCACTGTACATAAAGGAGGTTACCGAGTGGTGTAGAACGGGTTCGACAAAATCTGGTGAAGTCCACCAGGATTTTAAATTCAATTCTCGTACTGATACTGGTTCAGATAATTGCTTTTTATTTGTAACCTAATTAATTCTTCTTAAAAATTTACTGTTATAATTGTAAATAAATATATAACTCCAACTTACAATATCTACAAATCAAAATATACGTTCCATCCTGGTCAGGTTTCGGCAAAAATTGAAAAATATTCATCTTCAAAACATGCTCCAATTTAGAAGGAAGAAGATTCTTAAAAAATTGTGGATTGTTTACTCTCATGTTATAATAATTCTTAAGCAACTGAAGGGAACTCTCTATATCAAACTTTCTAGCACGTAGAAATCCAAGAAGAAAAATGTCGTCCATAAGACAATGAATTCCTTGGTCTTCTAATATCAGTAGAGGGAAAAAAACAAAATATTACTTACTATATATTCAAAATTTAATTATAAAATTAGTTAAAGGTCGGAAATGATCGATAATTAATTATACTTAATGGAGTTGTTATTAATGTTTTGCATCCCGACTTATGAAATGTTTAATTGAACAGAATTTACAACTTTCTTGTACGATTGAGCTAATAATATAAGGCACATTTCTCGTTTTGCAAAATGCATTTCACATCGATATCGGTATCGGTATCGGTATTTTGCATGTATGTTTATGTTATGAAGATTGGAAGATAAAAGGGGGTCGTTTGTATCTACAGTAGGGCCATACTTTACGAAAATATTACTCTTTATCTGTATTTAAAATTTTTTATAAAATCCATTCCTACCATAAAAGTTTTTCCATTTTATGATAATTAAAAATAAAGGGTTCTTTAATAAAACAACGTACAGATGCGCCACCAAACGTTGCCGAGAAAGTTAAGCAACTCGTTGCTGAATTTTTTTATATAAATTTAACTTAACAGTAAATAGTGTAAAATTTTATTTTGATTTCTGATTTCGCTGCAAAAACCCGAGAGCGTAAAATGTAATGATACAGGATCCGATAGACCGACGAAAAGCATGTATACCGTTACCGATATCGGCAGTATCATGACAGCAGTACCTAAACAGAATAATACGCCCAATACTTCATGCGATGAATTTTTAAAACATAACTGAACTATTCATCTAATAAATACGCATTTTCTAATTAAACATTACGATTATAAAAAGTAATTTTAATAAAATAAATTTTAATAATATCAAATAATTGTATTTACTGATCGATTTTTTAAATTCCTTTAAGACATTTTCATCCCATGGAAATTCTTCTTTCTCTTCTTCGAATATTGAACACTTAATATCCATTGTGGTTTCTTGATACTGCAAATTTATTATATTAAATTCAGTTCTTTTTATAATTAATTAATAAAACGATATTGTGCTAAGAAATTTATTTTAGCATTATAAGAAATTAAAGCCCCATACTTATAAATCCCAGAATTATTTAAATAGTATAAGTTTCAAGTTTCAAAACCAACATATTACGTATATCGTATCTATAACATATCTAGAAGTTTAAAATGTCTTTGAATATTAGCTATAACTACTAAAAATACGTTGATATACCAACCTTTGTCTTTTCAATCTTTTCTGAAAACTTACGATCAAGACAAAGCAATTTACTTCTTTCTCCGAATGTAAATCCGACTGCTTTTATTTGCAGTAAGTTAATATATACTCGAAACAAAAATACTCGTGACTAAGTTTAGACAGGCGAGTCTGTAAACGAGGGAGGCCAGGAAAAGGTGAAATACTACATAATATCTACTTTCCCAACTTAAAACGAAATTGTTTACAGAGCTATCTTTTTACACGACCAATCATGGAAATCGTTTCTGCAATTTCACCTTTGACATGAGTGATAGTTAACAGCAAAGCATAATTGAAAAGAGATGTATAAAACTTTCCATTAAAAAATCCAAATTGAATAAAATAAGAGATCGCTCATATAGCAAAAAACTGTCGTGTGTGTAAAGAAAATGCAAAATCATCAATTATCGTAGGTCTAAATCGTTTTTCCCTTCTGTTTTTTGCGTAATTGACTAAAATTACTGCTCTGTTAATAATGACAAGTGTTTATAGAATTTATCTCTTCAAGGGTTCCTATATATTGAATAGACGTTATTGTGCAAAGATTGACATAATCCTTGACAGTTTATCATAAATAACTTGTTTCTTCGTTTGTCTGTGAATTATCTATGTAAAGGAAGAAAATTATTCTGGATCGAAAGTAAAATAGTTACATTTATTATCATTTCCCCTTTCAAATGTATTACTTACTTAATAAAAAAAAATAATATTTCCTTGTTGAATTTTCGATGTTTTTACCGTTTGATTTAAAAAAACACATAAACACAGAGGAAAATATTTTAAAATGTTAATCTACAATTAATTAAAAATGTTAAAACGATTAAATTGTAGTTTCAGATTTATCGATTTTTATTGTAAAACCACCAACTGTCTTGCTAAACAATATAATTATGTATATTTTCTTTTTAATTTCTTGGCTCTATTATAAATAACAAAGTTAAAACATGGAAATCGGTCAAATAATAATTCCGAAGACTTTTATATAAGATTTCCAAGTAGAAAAACTTGGAGAAATGTCAAGAAAGAAAAAAATTCTGTATGTATCTTAGTGTGTGTTTCGAAAGCACGATCTTTTCAGCATATTTGTAGCATAATAACTCCTGTCTTTGTCGAAAATTTTTGAAACTTTGCTGGAAGGTTTGATTCTATTGAATTTTGATGGTTGTGATCGAGCAGGTCGGGATATAAATGAGTTCGTGTGTCAAACCTCATGTAGAGTCGAATTTAATGACGATATTATGCGTCATTAGCGTTTACACTTTCTTTATTAAACCTATCACCACTCTTAAAATAAAGCTTTTTCCATATTATAATAATAAAAAATATAAATTGTAAAACGTTGTCCAGGCAATTTTATTTATTAACTATGTATAAATTAAAACGGTTACACTACATAAAAATCTTTTTCTGTACAAAGTAAAGCATTTAGAATTTAAAATACTGTATAAGCATCAGAAATTAAATTGGTCTACTCACCATTATGTTATCCAGAGTCTTCTGTTACGTGACAAAATGAACCTAAAGTACATCTTGTTATCTGGCTTAATAGCCAATAGGCGAATCTGTTATGACGTTGTGAACCAATCCAATTTCATTAACATTTACTTTATAACAGAAAAACAAAAAGAATGCGTAATTTTCTTACAGCAAAAATTGCTGATTACACAAATAAAATAGAACCTGTCTATATGAATCATGTGTATCTGAAAAACACGATAATCGTGAAAAAAAACTTATCCTTTGTAATTGTTGCTTAAATTCATTGTAATTTCCATGTTTATCTGAAATAATCTTTTCCAAAAATTACGGACTGAAGTGTGTAATTAAAAATTCAAAGCTTAGCGGATACATTTTGATAGAACAAATTGTAGTCGAGAAACACGTCTTGCAATTCAGAATGCTTCTTTTCTCAGATTGGCTACGAAATTGGCTTGAATCTTATTGGTTATGCAGAATATATTTTACAAATTGTCTGCCTTTATATAAAATTTACTATACTGTCTTTAAAAACACGTTAACGTGTTTTCTACTCAATTTTATGATAACAGAGATAAAAGGAGAAATTAGTATGCAATTCAGCAATTTTTCCTGTAAACACATAAATGGGGTCACACGTGTTATTTATATGAGATGTCCCTGGTTATTTTAAATATGAGTCGTTGATATTATTGAATCGTATAGATATTAAGTCAGGATGATATAAACCCTACTCGAAATATGAATTTTATTTGCTTTATCACCCTGACACAATTCAATAACATCAACGTTTTATATGTAAAATAAATCAGAAGCCAGGAACATCTTATATTATATAAATAACACGTGTGAGGCCATTTATGTGTTTACAGTAAAAATTGCTGAATTGCATATTAACTTCTCCTTTTATCTCTGTTATCATAAAATTGAGTAAAAAACACGTTAACGTATTTTTGAAGACAGAATATAGTAAACTTTACATGAAGGCAGACAATTTGTAAAATATATTCAGCATATAATTTAAATTAGTTAATTTAAGGACAATTTAAATATCTGTTAAAAGTTTAGTTACTGAACGTGCTAATGTTACAAATTAGCATCTTAATTTCTTCATAGTGTTTATAATATAAAAAAACCTGTTTTTTAAAGTCGAGATATGGCACTGTTGTTTTAATTTCAACATAGGAATGATTATACCACTGTTTCTGTAAGAGTTTCAGTTTTCAAGTGAAGAAATTTCACTTACAAATTTACCTTTTCTCGAATAATTTTTAATACTAATTTAAACTATCGAATTCTTACGAGTGTTATATGTGATTTTATTATGAAAATTATCTCCCACTTTTTACTCTTTATGATTTTCGAGTTCAAATCTCATTTATCTGTTTAAATACTACATATATAAATATCTGTATACCGTTGAACCTGTCTATCTCGACCTTCCTATCTTGAATGTAATATAAACGAGAATTCAATTGAGACAGGTTTCGACATTAAGATGTTCTTAAACAACGAAAGAAAATTATTTGATATAAACGTGGAATATATAATAAATATAAGCAGAAATTGCAGAGGAAAAATGAATTTCGAGATAAACAGGTTTATCAGATAAGCATGGTTTATAATGAAAAGGTTCTGTATTTATATAATAGTAGTACCGTTATATAATAATGCCACTTCCTGAGATAGGACTTTTAACTAAGCATAAACGATTAATTAGCAATTCCGCTGTAAGATTTTAAGATATCGATAAGAAAATTACGTATTCTTTGTTTCTCTTTGTTATAAAGTAAATGTTAATGAAATTGGATCGGATCACAACGTCATAACAGCTTCGCTTATTGGCTATTAAGCCAGATAACAAGATGTACTGTACTCTAGATTCATTTTGCCACGTAACAGAGGACTCTGGATAAGACAAAGGTAAGTAAACAAATTTAATTTCTGGTGCTTATACAGTATTTTAAATATTAAACCAGTGTAACCATTATAACTTACACATAGTTAATAAATAAAATTGCCAGGACAACGTTTTACAATTATACTTTTTATTATTCTAATATGGAAAGAGTTTTCTTTTGAGGGTGGAGATAAGTTTTATAAAGAAAGTGTAAAAATAATCACTCGTAATTTTGCCATTAAATTCGATTCTACTTGAGATTTGACACACAAACTCCTTTATATTATCACCTGCTCGATCACAACCATCAAAATATAATAGCATCTATTTTCTTATTGCATACATGTAAACCTTCTAGAAAAGATTCAAAAATTTTTGACACAGACAGGAGTTATTATACTACTAATATGTATAATATGTTGAAAAGACCGTGTTTCGCAAACACACATATAAAGAATTTTTTTTTCGTTTCTCGACGTTTTAATGTTCCTCCGATTCGAAAAATATAAAAATCTTTGGAATCAATATTTGACCGATTTCCATGCTTCCCCATTGTTATATATAATAGAGTAAAAACTAAAAAGAATTATATAGATAATTATATTTTTTTGCAAGGCAGTGTGAGGTTTTAGGCTACACTAAATATGAATAAATCTAAATCTAAAATTTACTCGTTTTAACAGATTAGACGTTGCGACGATTGCTAATAAAATACAGTAGTTGTGCCTAGAGAAAAATTCCTCTTATACTTAGGGGAGATCGGGGCAACTTCGGCAAGCGGGGCAAGTTTGTCAAGCGCTTTTTTTAAAAAACAAATTAAAAGGAGACTTTGGTTATAGGTTAGGCAGTTCAGTTTTATTAGTGGCTTGTTGAGTGTAGTGTTTTTATTGTTCTCCAACAAGCGTAGTTGAATTATCAAGCAAATTTTCATTTTCGTTGAATTCCATATAATATTTTTTTTCCATTTATATTGAATTGGCAGGTTTTGTTATAATTCCATGATAACGAAAGTTACTTTTCCTGTTAGAAGGATGTAACTTCAACTTATTCACGTGGCCAGATCGTGGCTTGGCATTCTGTTCTCAGGGTTATACTTTATGTTTCGAAATCATGACTAGTGGGGTAAGATCGGCAACATAAAGCCACATTAGAAGCAAAGGATAAATATCAAACAGATGATAAATGAAAACATGTTTGCATTTGTTATTCATGTATATATGTCTTTGAACTTGCATTTCGTTGTAATAATATTAAATGGGTGTTGGATTTGTATTTCTTTGTTTTAATAGTGAATTCCAACTTATACATTGTTAATAACATAATTTTATATACGTGCCTATCTTGCCCCATTACTGTTGCCCCTATACCAGGGGCAACTTTAATAAAAATAATTAAAATAATTACAACTTTACAAAAAGAGAGAAGTTGCCGATCTTGCCCCTATACCCGGGGCAACTTCGTCAATTTCTCTCTTCTTGTAAAGTTGTAATTATTTTAATTATTTTTATTTCCAAACTGATTTTAACCAGTTCTATAGTAAGGTAACATTCCAATAGACAATATGCAAAGCTTTTTTTCAGTTTACAGCAGTATTTATTACACAAAATTTAAGTAAAGCTTAACATGCCGATCTTGCCCCGATCTCCCCTAATAAATAGCGAAAATTTTAATGATACTTGAATAACATTCTAAAATGAAATCTATCCGCTGTTTTCATGTATTGTGTTTTATCAAAAAGTAAAAATATCAAAAAGAAAGAAACAAAATTTATTTTAGATTAAATAAGTAATACGTTTGAAAGGGGAAATGATATTAATTGTAAATATCTTTCATTTCCTTCCTTTACATAGATAATTCACAGATAAATAAACAAACAAATTATTTATGATAAACCGTCAACGATTATGCCAATCTTTGCATAATAACGGCAATTACAATATATAGGAACCCTTAAAGAGAAAAATTTTATAAACACTTGTAATTATTCACAAAGCAGTAATTTAGTCAATTACGCGAAAAATAGAAGGGAGAGGCGATTTAGACTTACAGTAATTGATAAATTCTTGTTTTCTTTCCATACAGGACAGTTATTTTCTAAATGAGCGATGTGTTATTTTATTTAATTTGGATTTTTTAATGACAAGTTTTATACATTCCTTTTCAATTATGCTTTGCTGTTAACTATCACTTATGTCAAAAGTAAAATTGCAGAAACGATTTCCTTGATTGGTCATCTAAAAAGATAGCTCTCTAAATAGTTTCGTTTTCAGTAGGGATTGTTTAGTATTTCTATTGTGTAGTATTTCTCTTTACCTTTTACTGGCCTCCCCCGTTTACAGTCTCGCCTGTCTATACTTAGTCAGAAGTATTTTTGTTTCGAGTTGATATTATCTTACTGCAAATAAAAGCGGGCGGATTTACATTTAGAGGAAGGAGTAAATTTCTGTGTCTTGTTTGTAAGTTTTCAGAAAATATTGGAAAGACCAAGGTTGGTATATCAACGTATTTTCTAGTGGTTACAACTAATATTCAATGAAATTTTAAAGTTTTAGAGTATGTTATACATACCATATCAGCTTCATAAGTGACATAGGCCTATATAATCTGAAAATTATAAATTTTACTATTTAAATAATTCTGTGATTTAAAGGCTATGTAGTTTTATTTTGTGTTATTGCTAAAATCAATTCCTTAGTATAATACCATTTTATAAATCATTTATAAAGAGTTTAAAATACTGAATATAATATGTTAAAAATTGCAGTTTCACAAAACCAGAATGGATATTAAGTGTTCAATATTTGAGGAAGATAAAGAAGAATTTCCATGGGATGAAAATGTCTTAAAGGAATTTAAAACATCTATCAGTAAGTACAACTATTTGATTTTATTGAAAATATTTTTTATTTTCGTAATGTATAATTAGAATATACCAATTTGTTTGATGAAAAGTTTAGTTACGTTTTCAAAATTTATTGCATTAAGATTTACAAAAACAGGATAGTTTATTATTGTCTTATAACTACACAATGTATAATTGTGTACAAATATAAAATAGAAATCTGTTTAGGAAAGTCCTGATGATGCTGATACTGATACCGGTTTCAATATTTTTTTTCGGGTATCGATACCGGTATTATTATATGTTTTACAATCTGATTTCGCTGCGGAATGAGAAACCAAAATGGAATTTTACACAGATATACTGTTATTAAAAAATCGATCAACGAGATGCTTAACTTTCACGACAACATTTGGTTTACGCCATCTGTTTTGATATATAATTAAATCACATTTTTATTATTTTTTACTATGATAAAATGGCAAAAAGCTTAATTTTGATGGTAAGAACAGAATTTATAAAAAGTTTCATATACTGATGTGAAGTAATGTTGTCCTAAAGTCTGACCCTACTAAAGATACACACGACTCCGTGTA